TAAAGCAATTGATTACATTTGAAGGTCGTTTTTACTAAGAAGTGACATGAACTACATACTGTAAATCAAGGGGTAATGAACAATATATAGAATAAATAGAAAATATTTATGCGATAATTAGATAGAGTGAGGATGATCAAGCAAAAAGTAAGTGTAATTTCAAAAAGAATATCATCATCACCTGTCACTCAAAGAGTATATATGACAAACTGAATACAGCCAAAAAACTACAATATTCCAAGTCTTATACAAAGCGTATATCAAACTGTTTTTTTTTAATTATACATGGGTTAGAGTTTTGTTTGTCCAAATACAACAAAGTATTAAGTCATTCTAAAAAGTAGATCTTATACGTTAATCGCTATTTCATAAAGATTAAATGATGGAAAATATGTGTGAAGTATTAAATTTTGTCTATAGAAAATATTCCACAACCTTGAAACCGTTTCCTTATTTATCAATTAAATAATAGAAAACAATGAATAATTAATAAATACAATCACCACACAAAAAAACCAAATAACTTTATATTGAAAAAATTGTGAAAATCCGAACATAAATTCCTAAATCTAAGCATCACTCACACAATCTTGTAATTGAATGATTTTAACACTATAACAAGAAGGCGGGAAACGGGCCCATAACTATTGAATCTTCTCAAATTGAAGAAGCCACATTTCACCCGCATGTACGTGCAATGTATTTATCATACCCTTGTAAAACCAACCAGTTACAGTTATAAATGGTTCAGTTGGGAATTGTAGCTTTTGCTGTTAACTTTACAAAGACTGATCTTGTTTTCCAAATCAGTATCACCAACTCACAACTACTCAGATACTTGGACATTATTATTATTATTAATGGCTTTATTCAATATTATATTTTGGTATAGTATAGAATTATCAGTACGAGGTAGTTCAACAAGTTTCTTTTACAAAAAAGGAAAAAAGTGAAAAAAGGTCTTGGATATGTAAAACTTTTCAACTAGAAACATGTTTAGGAATCGAATGAGATTTGTGAGGCGCATATTTATCTAGTGCTTTTTTGTACCAATATTTATGTGTTTAAATAAAATAAATAATAAATGTTTAGGAATACAAATTATTGACTAGGTCAACTCTAACAACCTATTCGTCACAGAGTATATGTGCTAGATAAGGTATTGTGGAACTTTTATACATTTGCTTTGGTGCATGGATTCTAATGTATTGACATCTCGTCCTACAAGAAGATATACAAGGATAAAGATATAAATGAAGTGGATGATTAATATCTGACTAGATAAGATCCGCAAGAAGTTTGCAATATTGTAGATGTTTATCCACAACCATATTAATAATGACCTCAAAAGATTCACCACACACCCTGCAAACTGTCTTCAGCGCTCTCCGCAATACGACAAAGTCTTCTCTCAAAAGCTCGTGAAAGAATAATGGAGAACAGTAAAGAATAATAGGTAATATGCATGAATTTACGAATTGTAACAGTAAATGTCGAGTAATCCCAAAAGCATGCAGCCTTTTTATGTAGTAAGTCAGACGCAAAACTTTATTCGATAACAGCAAGCCATGAGAAGATCAGAGAAAAAGGTAACACCAGGATAATTGACTTTCAACATTGTGTTTATCAAAGAATCTTTATCAAAGAATCTCCAATAGTACAAGCATTATGGGATTCTAACACAATATTTAGGTGCTGTTCATGTCTCAGGCTAAAGTTAACAGATTGACGGGTTAAGTATGAGACCATTAACAACATACCACCACTCAATACGAGACAGAAACTTATTCATTTCTATGGGATGTAAAGAGGTAGAAATCGGCATACATACAGTGAAATCGTCCGTATATTTCACAAGTGTTTTCCGTAGAAGATGGCAGATCATGAAGAAAAATAGAGAAAAGAACCCAGGAGAGAAAAGCTCCTTGTGGCACGTCTTCATGAGACAGTATGGAGGTTGAACATTTTCCTCCAAACACAATGTAATGTTCTCTTCCAAAGAGGCAGAAACATAGCCGGTTGGTTATTTAACTGTCAGTGTTGACGCTGATTAACTTGTTAAGTAAAAGTCGTCTTGGAATAGAATCAAAAGCAGAAGTGTAGTTCAGAAAAGCTCATCGAACATACTTCTTACCCTTTTCCAATCTGAACACTATATTATGATGCAGCACAACAACTGCATCTAAGATGTTTCTTTTGCATTTGTAAGCAAACTGATACAGATCAATGTGCTCTTTGAGTGCAGGTTGAAATGGGAGTATCAATAATTTTTCCATCATTTTGAGGAAAGGTAATTGCTATGGGTCCTAATTTTACATTCTTATCACCAGATACTTTCTTAGATATAGGGATTACCTTTATCTTCCTCCACAGAACATGAATATAACAGTACTATCATCAGTAATGTTAGTATAAAAAAATGTAATCTGATTACAAATAATTATTATTGATGTTCAACATGTACTGTGTGTCACATTTACATTCAGTACCAAAGAGACTGAACAGTCTTAAGAAATGATAAAAATGTATAAATTATTTTTTCTAAGACTCACATAGTTTAAAAATTTTAATGATTTTAAACTTGGTGTCTACAACATGTTTGCATAAGCTACATATCTTCTATTCATTAAAAAACCTTTTAATTCTGCAACTTTTTAATAATACATAATAACGATTCATTTATTGGATAAATATAGAGCTGCAAAATCTTTGTGGGTACGATGCTAGTCAGCTAAGAACTTCACTTATCTAATTTAGGTCAGATAATAAGAATGCTGGTGGATTCAAAATAGAGCATTTTAGTTAACACATACCTAGTCAAAAATGGAACCTAGAGCCACTAATCATAGTATATAGTATTGAGGTGTGAAAAGTTTATGACATACTAACAGGATTTCTTGGTGTTCACCAACAAATATGCTGAATTGTTCAGAATAAAAATAGGGGAAAACGATTAACTAACGGATATGTTTTACCTTGTCCCACTACATAACTTTAAACGAGTCAAACAAGAAAGATGCATTTAAAACGACAGAAATGTACATAAAACTATGGTATCAAGCGATATTAATTGAAGCGCCATTGAGGATAAAATTACTATTTATTAACTAACCCTAACAATAGTTTATGAGGACTGCCTGAAAATAACTATTAGCATAGTTATTCGTTCAATTAAAAAAGTTGTGAGGTATTCATGCGAAAATATAGTAAAAACAGGTAAATAATCTAACAGAGAGATTTTAAATAAGTCTTGAAACAAATCTCTATACATCTCCTACAGTAATAATAATTGTATGCTTTCTAGTGACTAAGTACGAGAGTTAGCGCCCTAAACTCCAGTGAAAAGCTATGACTGGTGGAGGTCAACAATACGGAGTGCAAGATAGTTACTGATCAACAGCATTACAAGATAGTTGCGCAGAGACACGAATTGATTAAAGTTAGACATGTAAACCACTGGGTTCCACCACCATGGTCTAAAGTTTGAGCGCTCACCACGACAACTGAAGCAGTATGTACAGATTGTAGAGCTTTTGAGCGAAACTGAAGGTCATGGTTCCAATCTTCGATGGGCTTGTCGATGTGCACTGCTGAGAAGTCACATACTGGGACGAAACGGTTGCCCAGTACTCCCTGATTTTCAATCATTGTCTGGCTAAGACAAGTTCATCATGTAAACTAGAAGAAACAAGACCATGAAATTTAGTGACTGGTGGAGTTAGATTAATTCGAGATTGATGTAGATATAAAAACGGCTATAAATAATGGCTGAGCAATATCGTTAAATGACAGAAGTTGAGAACGCAAACTTTTGGACCCGAAAATCTAGTGGTCAAAGGATAACGCACTAACGTGACCTGATTTCAATTGCTCAAAATCAGTAGTATTATAATGATTATTACTTCTACTATCGGACTACTTAGTAAACTTAAATCAAATATTTAACAGACACAAGAATAAAACAATTACAAGCTTTGGAAACCTAAAGCTATGTGTTGTTGGTGATAATTACCAATATATAACTTTTGAAAAAATATAGCTATCTATTTGAATTTTATTGAAGTTGGATAGCAGCTAGAAGTGCAATCCAGGATGCACGTTTCGTCCTGCTTGAGACTGATTGGCTAGATTCTATCCGTATTCCAGTGTTGATATCCACAATGAGACTCGAACCCAGGAAATTTCACTTGAAAATGGGCGATCTACTAGCCTCTGTGCTACTGACTCAAAATAGTCACTAGATAATGTCACCAGAACGACCTGAATTTGTATGTGTTTACATCTACCTGCTGATATTAGGGACTGATGGTAATCAGCCACTTTTTAGATTATGCACATCCTGAAAAGACTGCTTCGAAACTGTCAATTGATTACAAGTATTTTAGTAATTTTGGATAGTGATTAACAGCAGAATCCATTTTAATATTAGAAGAACAATTGGATGACCATTTATTCATCATACATTCTTAAAATATGTCACTTTACCTTCGAATAATTTAAATGTCATTCAGAGACTAATTAAATTCAAAGAAGATTTCTCTATTTGTTTCACAGTTTAAATGAATTAAATAGTTTTTTTTCCAATTTAGATCAAGAATATGTACAAAACTGTGAAAATGAAGTTCGTTTGCCAAGTATGGTTTTATGAATTCTGGCTCAGAACGTGCTTCTCATAGTTTACATCACGAGCCGATCTTAGTTAGACAGCCACTAAAAACAGAAAACACTGAACAAATATATCGTCTTAGAATGAGACTCCTTAGCAGTATAGATAGACAAAACTAAACTATGGAGCACACCCAACATTTAGACCACTGGGCCGGGATCCAGTAGCTTACGTAACTACCTTTAAACATGCTATTTGTTTGAGGGCTAGTGATAACTACAAAACAGTCAGGACAGAAGTAAGTAGATAGGAGTTTGAACCTGAGACCTATTGGGTGAAAGCTGAAAAAGTGCTAAATCACATAAAAGTTTAAGAAAAACATAGAAGTACTCACTTGGAACCCACAATAAACCAACCAACCCCAATCAGGAATTTGATACGAACTAAAGTTACATCCATCTGCTAATTCTTCAGAAGAACATCTGAAGAGTAATTTGTTTAGCTCCAATAAATTCATATTGCCTAGAAGAACTCTGATCGAATTCGGCTTTAGTAAAGAATTATTTCCTGATGGTAAACTTAAAGGAATATAGGCATTTTCACCTTTACCCATAGCTTGACTTGTTCGAGGTTCATACAAACGACAATCAAACTGTAAATGAAAGAATCAATATTAGTTAGATTTACGATTGCAATAAACTATGACTGGATGTAGAAGAACAAGAGATAATGATTTCCAAAAATGTGTTACTTAACAATTTGATTACTCCATGTAGACGTAAACAAATAGGTTTAACAATTTACAGAAGAGAATATGCTATGAAGACAGTAGATTAGCTGAAGAGGGTCGATTAAAAGGGATATTGAAAACATTGTTTAGAAGTGGATTTTATTAACTAACCACCGGTGGTATGAAATAAAGATATTATAAAATATCAAACGACACTACTCAATTGTTTTAAATGGAAATGAAGAACATTTTAATTTGTAATTTAGTGTCTGAAAGTCATATGTGAAAAAAGAGTAACAGCTTCATTTCGAACCCGTATGGCCATTGTTAAGTAAAAATAAAATATTTGCATAACGTGAAATGATTGGTTTTGTGTCGACAAGCATCTTAGATGAAATTAGAAAATAATCTCGAAAAGAAAAACCAGTTGTCAATTTTATCCACTAAAATGACAAAATCTACTACGAAATTACATTCCATATCGTATGAAATATAATCTGTACAAATAATTGTTGGTTATGATGTAACGCTACGTCGCATCAAAACTCCACTGAAATATTTTGTAATTTTAATACACATTTTTTAACTGAACAAATATGAGGATTCGCTACTTAGTTTGACAAGTAATTCTGGAACATTATTAGTCCTGAATCTCCTTCAAATTTATCAACTTTGTCCAAGGTCACAAAAGTAAAATATGCAAGAATTTCCACGTAACTTTGTCAAAGACTCTGTCAAAGGAACACTTATCCTGTGGTTTTCCGGAAAACCCAGAAAAATTTCTCTATAATCTATCAATGGTGAAGTTAAATAGGATAGAATTAGAAGGTTTGTCGCTTGGATTTAAATTTCATATCCCCAAAATACATGCCGACAGAATCGACACAGAAACTCAATTTGAGAATTTATTTGATCAAATAAAAAAGTTGCATCCAGTTAGTGAAGAGAGGGCTGGTTTAAATATAAACTAGTTAATATCGCAAACCAATATCTCGTTTTACTCACACCACAGTTTAAACTTTTATCCAAAGACCACCTGACAGCATTACGAAGTATTAAGCGAAATGATGATATTACGGTCAGATAAGGGTTCAAGTGTTGTTCTAATGGGCAAGACAGATTATATCTCAAAGATGGAGTCCAATTTAAGTGAGCACATGAGATTCAAATTAGAGTAAAATTTCTTATGACTTTATTAATTGTATCTGAATCTTCGCTACATTATGACACATACATTAACCTTTAATCACACTCGTATGTATATGTATGTCAATATCTGCAATAACGTTGATTTTCGAATATTTTAGGTTGTAAGAAGCTGATGAGAACCTAACGAAATAAAATGAATTCATATTATTCTGCACCAATCTTCGTTCTTCCTCTCTTTAAGATTACAAATTAGTCATCGACTTATTGGAAACCTATTGATTGCTTCTATATATCTTACATCCAAACGACATGCAATATGAAATAAAACCATTTAGTTTAATGACCACATTGTTACACAATCGATAGAATACAAAGTAGACTAAGAATTAAGCCAATACTACATAGTGTCTGATCTAATGTACCCGTTTGTGAAAGAAATATCGCAGTTCAGAAGATGGAGACTGTTACATAAACAAAACAAGATTTAGTTATGTGCATGAAATGAATTAGGCTTGTATTGGTCTTTTCCTAACGTCTCTGTATGTTTATAAGCTAGAATTTCTTTTCTTCTGATAGATTGTGTGACAAAGTTTTGTAGATTAAAAAAATCAAAAAGAATAGTAGTTGCCGTGCATAGATTGATTGAGCCAGGTCGATAGTTACAAACTGATTGTTTAGGGTCCAAATGACCAACAAAACCAATGATGGAAGACATTGAATGATACAACTTGGAACTGGTCACAATGGGGAGGATATATTCACTATTTATCTTGAAGTACCTGTAATTTTTATTTTGCGAATTCATTATTTCTTCTCAAAACATATTCTTTATGCATAATGTTTTTACCACCAGAAATAGTGTTACTACTTCTACTAATCTCTCGTTTATTTTGATAATTTCATCTTACGGTGCTGATGTGAAGTGGCAACTTGAGCTGGTGAACATATGTCCCAGATTCTATGTTGTATCAATCTCATTGACTGAAACCCTACTTCTAAGATAACTTAGGAACTAGATCTATGGATCATGAGCGCATTACAATCTAGTTGAAATCCAGTGTTATCAGAATGATCTAAAAACAAGAATGCAGTATAATTTCCCTCCTTGAAGCTTGAATGATTGTGATATTATTGTTTTTATATTTTGATGAATTAGTCAAATTTTAGTAGTTGAAATACTAGTTGGTTGAGATAGTTCGTCCAAAAAGTTTATATGAAGTAGTTGATCAGTAGAATTTTTAAATAACTCTTTACAAGTGATTGATTTAGAAGTTTTAGGAATGAAATTGTGTAGACATGTATTATCAACTATGGTGTTATAAAAATAAAATAACCACATGTACAAAACTAAACTAACCTGTTGTGACATGAAATTATGTAAATCAGCAATGGCTTGTTGTTGGCTCTCATCTAATTTAATCGAAACAACTACAACTGATCCCGGTGGTAAATTGTAAAATAATAAACTATCCACCATAACACCATGTTCATCTGAGTAACTTTCTACGTGAAATGTTTTACTTTCAGTGGCTGGTACATTTTGTAAAATTGAGTAATTCATACACATTAAACCATTTATATACTGGAAAAGGAAAAGGGAAAAGAAATAAACAAAAAATTATCAATATATGGTTTTGGAGATTGTTGAGTTTTAATTGAGAGATCATAAGCCAATCAATGTTAGACCATCATTGAAAACATGGAAGCTGTGGATGGCCGTTTTGACCTAGTACGGGACAACTCGGCAGTGCACATCCACGATCCCGTAAGCGGAATTCGAACCTACGACCATCGGTCTCGCGTGCAAACGCTTAACCTCTAGACCACTGAGTCGGCAACCAATCTACAATATTGCGCGACCATCTTCCATTGTTATCGGTAGGTAACTCCCTCACACCCGACAACGGACTGGACTCCAATGGTCACGGCTTCTCATTAGAACTCCATGAAGTCTATCTTGAAGCTAGTCACTAGTGAGCATATGATTATTATCAGAATGTGGATTTGTGGAGATTGTAGTAATTTTAACAGTTTAATTCATGAGTCGATCTAAGCTAGACCACCATTGAAAACCAGTCACATACCAGGATGAAACGGACGTCCAGTGCTTCGACGTTTTCAAGGGCGGTCTAACATTGATAGGTCCATGATCTCAAATAAAAAATTATCAAACTACAACAGGACCGATATGTATTATTCTTTGGTTAAGAAAATTGTATAGATACTATAGTCGGTGAATATTAGCTAACTCGATAGAAGTTGAGATTGTTAACTTCAATTTAAAAGTTTTACTTTTAAAATCTCGTATCTCGAAAAAGGTTTTTAAGATTTCTACATTTCTATTTGGAAGAATAGTATGAATATGAAAATATAACTACACTAGCGCCTCTCTTCTAAACAACTAAATGTACGTTTAGACAGTAAAGAATACAATGTGGACGGAGAATAAAACAGGTTTTCAAAGCAGAATTAACTGTGATGATCCGAATTAGGCCTGTTATTTATTGTCTGATTTGTGTAGTGATCAATACTTTGAAACAAGCAAGATTGGTCAAGTCTAATCCAGAAAAAATGTTCCCACAACCATAGGTTACATAGATTCCTAAATGTTGTGGATATATAGCCAACAAACACCTTGAAGAGTTAAAGTTCTGTTAACAGTTACCTAAATAATTAAGGAAATATATTTTTCGGATAACTAGCGTCATCAATATGCTTGCGATAATTCTTATTGATAACGACAGCTTTAATGACCTCGATTTACTTGGAGTAATTATTCGTTACCCCAATACATAGAGAGCAATTCATGTCAACCTGGGTGAAAGTTTTGCAGATAAACAGACAGCTTTACTTCACTAGAAGAGTATCATCAGTCAGATAATCATTCTATATTTGAATATCACATTCAGTTTGCAGGATTGATTCCACAAGATATTATATTTGATTTAACGATTAAAGCATTTAATTTCCAACAAACAGGTCACATGTGCGAGACTGGATCTAACTACTTTGGTCTGGGTATTCAGTTATTATCACTAGCTTCCACATAAAACAATATGATTGAAAGCTCAATACATAAACTTGTACTAGTCAATTGAGTTGCATTTACTCAATTACCATAGTCAAGAATCCATTAATCATCAACCGTAAACAGATGAAGACATTATGACACTTTTGTCTTGCATTCTTCGATTCTTCACAGTACAAGAAATGCCATGGTTTAATGACGTTACTGAAATGCAACTCCCCCATCTGACACACAAGAAACAGTCCAACAAAAGCTAACATTTCATGTCTAGTTGGAATTTTAAATTATCCGTTCGTTCATACTGTTTACTTGTGCTATCATTCAAATGCAGGTCCATTTTATGCGTTTAAATTGTTACAACCTGTTAAAACCAGAATTTTCAACACTTTCACACATCTTTGTCGTAGAAAACCTAATACTCATTACAACATAAATGAATACATAGACCGGATTCAGTATGCTAACTACATTTCAACTCAGTGTTTCGACAGGTTAGTACATATATTAAGTAATAAATGTTTACATTTTGAGAGTCAATGACGACCTTAAATAATTTATGCACTAAATTATTAATTATTTATTGAAATCAGTGAAAAATGTCAATAACAAATAGTCGAATACTTTTACAAATTAGGCATAATAAATTCGATAGTTAACTATAAATATATTCTATAAATTATCTCTATGTGATAAAATGCCATAATGTTATTACTTTATTATTTAACACAAAGAAACCTACTGCTTACTGATTTATTAATAATAAACTAATGTTTGGATACAAAATGGACACTGTAAGTGCTCTATTCGGGTTGTAGTTACAATCGAAATTTAGATCTAAGCACGACCAATGTAGCTTCGATAAGTGTCAGATACATTTATTGTCATCTAGTATACGGCATTATGGCAATCAAAAGCGACCTTTATTTTAATTGGTCAATTATTTTTCGATCAGTAGTCTGTTCACTAAGTTATAAAAATTAAATAATATATTATGTAAATCCACTAATCGTATATTCGATATGATCAGTGAATCACCATCTAGAATAGTCAGTTTACAGTCAACTCATTAGGTCATGGGTTCAAAATCAGCTCAATCAACTGAGATTTAGGTATCCAAGTTAGCCTATTACACAAATTTACACAAAAAATTAGCTCAAACTTGGACGCATAAATTTAGATTTGGTCAACGAATTACACCGTTGTGTTATTATATTCAAGCGATAAACAGCGGAAACAACATAATTCATACCTGTGGATTCTTTTTGAAATCTTTCTGTGGTGGATAATCTCCTTTAAATGTCGAGAGTATTTCACATAACAATCTATTCACTCGTCCACCCAGCCGAATTGGATGAAAATCTGAATGGTGTGGATTAGGTCCAGGATCATGAAAAGCTGTATGTGTTATCAATAGGACAGCTTCACGAGTTTCTGGACAAAAACGTGTCACACCCAACACATTTGGTGTAATCTTTAAAAAGGAATGAATAAATATGAAAAGCGTGATAACGAATGTTACCGTTGTCATATTATCGACATATTAAGTCAAATTATCGAACGAAATCTTTAACAGAATTGGATTAATTTACCAATTGTCGCTAACGACTAAGCATTTGTACAAGAGACAATAAATGTTTCTATGAAAGAGATGACATTTAAATAATATTGGAAATAATAATACACTATACGACATTGTGAAAAAATTTCTATTATAAAAATACCACTACAAGACAATATAACATTTCTGGTGGTGGTGTTTAATAGGCATAAGATGGTATTTATGATAAATTGTTAAATGAGAGATATTAAAGGTTTCAAATTCTTAATTTCGTACATCTGTCTAGTTACCTGTGTTGTGGTGTCAGAACCTATATTAAACAAAAAGCTTCAAGTTTGAGGGAATTTCTAGCACTGTACATTGTATAACTGTACTGTATAACAGTCTATCTAAGGTCCTTCCATAATGTGGATTATATAACTCAATCAGCTCTACCAATCTCTTGTAGGAAAAATAATACTATTTATATTTCAAGTACAGATTCATGTACTCAGTCCTGAGTCACAGCCATTTTGGCATGGGGCGTACCGACAATAATCAGGTTTCCTAAAATGAACAAATAGATGGAGTGAATCTTTGAAAGTCCAGTACTATAACCATTAAGCTCGAATGTCTCAACACTATCCTATTTACTACAGTATAAATGTTTACAACATATTAGTCAATCAATTAGTTACAAGTTGTATTAATTAAGGAAAACGTATAATGAATGGATATTCCAATATAATTCATTTTTTCCAAAAAAATAAAATAAATCGTAATAATAATAAATTGTGTACTTGGTCTACAAATGTTTCAGAAAATCCTTCAGATGATAGCCAACTATGCAATTCATTTAAAATAGATTTTGGTTTAATTATACCAATATTATAATTGACTTGATCAGGCCATCGCGAATAGAAACGTTCCTCTTTAACTACATCAATATAATGTGGAACTAATTCATCATAACCACGTGTACTACCGATTGCACAACAAGCAAACGATCCAACTGCAGATAAAGGTAGATAATTAAAAACAGAATGTTTCTCCAATACACTTGGATTATCATGAGTTTGGTCATAGAAGACAGCATGCGATACACTCGGATATAGACGACGTGCACTATTTCGTACAAAAAATGCTCCAGCAGGTCGAGATGCACCATAACGATGAACTTGTCGACCTAAATCGTGACAGTCACAAGCTGATAGGGATTCTAAAATTGTAAATTATTTGAAATAAGTAAATCTCGTAAGAATGTATAGAGAAACCTTGAACAAGTGAACGTAAATTTTTATTATTTGGTTGTTTATTCTAAGGAAAGTTATAGTATAAGAGTGAACCAATTAGGTAGAAAGTAGTGATTTCAATGGAGATAGAATAAAAATGCACTTACAAAACGTTTGGTTTCTAAGGAAGACGATATTATGTGATATTGAACACGGAAAAATAAGCAGAGCACATGGAAAATAAAATGGGTACTTAGTTTATGTATCCAACTGTAGTAGATTTCCGGTACCTGAGATATGGACCTATGAAACATTTACTTAAAACTCATGGATCAGATGTTAACCGAAACATTATTGTATACAGATGACTGGAAAGTGGGGATTACCCCACAAATTTGAATATCATTCACGAAATTTGCAGTAAAAAAAACGTCTCTTTGTAAACCCTGTAACAGAAGAGCATACCGATAACGTTGAAGCACCAAAATCCCCTGGTACGGCCGAGGACAGAGAGAGTTCACTAATTCTCTTTAAATATTCTCATACTGACACGTACTTATAGTCACTGCCAAGGAAGTCCGACTCATTTTCTCGTGACGGAGGTATTGTTTACAGAAGTGAAAGGACGAAAAGCAAATGCTTAGAGAATAAATCAGGTTGGTGGATACAGAGGGTATATTTAGGAAATTTGTAAAACTCTAACTCTAAACCAATGGTGTTCATCGGCCCCAGGATCCTGGGGAGTCGAGTGGCATATGAGCCTACACTTGGTCACCAGTTACTATGGGATTACATCTCTTGGCGTTGCTCCATTGCTTTGTTGGTCGTACCATTGGATCAAAGGCTAGGAGAGTCCCTAGCAAAGAAACCAGCTGATTTACCCTGAGCACCCGAGCAGTGTCCCGGCCCACAAATAATCATGAACATGATTATTAATAAAGAAAACGTTTCCGTTCTCCCTCGCTATTTAAATAAGAGACATTTGCGACTACGTAATTATGTATAGATTCACTCAATGCTTCTTTATCTTTCTATTTCTTTTTATTTTCATTCTGCGATCACTGTTGTTTTTCGAACTCATAGAGAACTTCATCTATGGGGGAAGTTTTATCCAGTCTAGACGAAGTCAAGTCAGTGACTGGTCGAAAGTTAAAATACCACCAACAAATACGTAACCTGAATCAGCTTTCTTGAAACAACATGTACCATTAAAACTGATCTCCATCAACGTTTGCATACTAATGAAGATCGGATAACAGACAGGTTTGGTTGGCTTTAGAAATTTTTGACATCAACGTTTATTATTTCTCTGAAACGCACATCCAAGATTCTATTGAAGTACTGCACGCTCGCTCCGCATCTGTAGATTAGAAAAGCTTGCTTCACGTGAGTTTATTGGGGGACCCTATAACATCTCCGTCAGACTTTGCTAGCACTGGTGTCACACTGAATGCCAGGGCAGAAGCAGCACTAAACGACGGAATCCCTATTAACAATTGATCTCAAGAAGACGTGTTCGATAAACATTGTAGTGTTAGCCATAGACTTGAATGCACAAGTCGAAAATCTAAGCACAGAGGAAAGTCAATTTGGTGGCCAATGGGGACGCATTGGTCGCAGGTCAGATAATGGTGAACGTCTCCCGCAGCTCTGTATAGACAACCTGTTTCCGGCTAAAACTGACTATCGGTAATCATCATCAACGTGCTATCCAGCCCCCTCACTCTACATTTAAAGTCTGGACTCAGATTGATTATATCGCGATCAGCTATCTCTGGCGTTGTCGTGCACAAAACTACAGCTCATTTTAAGTACTTGTCTCTACTCTGATCATGCCCTTATTTGCGCTTATCTTATTGCACGTCTCGATGGCTAACAAACTTCTCGTCTTAAACAGATTAATACGATTAAATTGATTCCAGTCTCCGTTGAAACCACATAACAAAGCGATGTAGCTTCAAACCAAAAAACTGGATAACCACGAGTTTGGTGATAAACGGAGTTTTTATGTACGAAAATCGTAAAACTTCTGCATAAAGGAAGAAAAATCTGGTGATCAGAGGGTGATAACAAGTTGGAAGCGAAAGCTGCACTTGATAGCTGCCGCAATCTCTTTTAACTCATTTGAGCCACTGACTAAAAGAAGTTTGATGTAAGTAAATCAGTTTGCGAAGCTGATGGGATCACAATCAATAAAATTCAACGACGTCCTAAATGATGGTCAGGATTTCTTGAGGAGCAGATCGCCTGATCTGTTGCCCCACAATATCGATCAGACTGTCCTACCCTTTAATGGCCAATGTCGACTAATTGACCCAACAAGGTGGAAGAAACCTGCAAGGAACTCCAACCACCAGGTCCTTATGACTTTTTTCCAGATCTTTTTAACCAAGGTCACAAACTCCCGGTCACTGGACTGACTGAGTTGTTCGAGGAAGTTTAAGAATTAGAGGGTGTTTCAACACCTTGAAATAAATCCGCCATCCCACAGATCTTTAAAAAGAGCTGACGTCAACAATGCAACAACTGTAGGGGGATAAGTTCACTTTTGATTGCATCCAAATTATTGGCTTCTGTCACACTTTGCAAGTTGCACAAAATATGTGAAAGATCGACTCACGAGGAACAGACTGGTTTTCTTTCCGGTCGCAGGCGTACTTACTACAGATTCACCCTCCCCCAAATGTTACTTTTCCTAATATTAGTGAAGCCTTCTATGCGTTGGACAGGAATGTGCTCTGGAGTTCTCTGTTAAAAGTGTGTCTGAGGAGGTTATTAACAGCTAAAGGGCTCCATATGCAAACATCTCAGCCAGAGTATTGGTACACAACCACCTCTCTCTATTGTTCTATTCTAGGAGCGGTTACACAATCTCACCATTACTCTTCAACTCTGCTATCAATGACATTCTGGAAACAACACTGGTGGAGGTAAATGGTAGTGTGTTTGTCACTTGGGGAAAGACATGTTGGTCGTTAGTATGTAAATGATATTGTCTTACTGCGTAATGATACTCAAGCTGTGCAACCTGCAAGCAATCAGTTGGCAATCAATATTCGAAGGTATAGTACGTACTTTGCACCTTCTAAATACAAATTACTTTTGCAAGACAGGCAGGAGCGTATGCAGACACTCACTCTTTGTGATGAACAGTTGGTAGTCGAAAAGTTCGTGTAACTGAGTAGTTGTATGAGTACAGGTGGTAGCGTTTTAGATGAGATAAATATACGTTTAGTGGGAGTCAGAGAGGCTTATGCCAAGTCAGTTCATCTGTGGCGACTTCATGATGTTAGTCTGGCTGCGAAAACTCGGGTTTACAAAGTGTTGGTGAGAGCGATTCAGCTTTGTTTCTGTGAAACCTAGCTTCTCCAAATTGAGGATGTTCGGTGATTATGTGTTTAATTACCATTCTCTACAAAGAATTGATGAAATTTAGTAGGAACGCTAATTTAGCCAGTACTTGAAAACAGTGATGGTCAACGAACAGAAAAATCATGTTTAGAATGCATCTTGTTGGGTAATCTGAAACATCCACTATTCTGTTTTTTTACCTGAATCAGAAATTATATTCCATTCTTTGATTAGTAAAACTGATAAGCGTCGAATAAATCAGTCATATTGCTTATTTCTGGAAACTGATGCCATTCTAAGATGTATATATGGTTTATATGACAACTACATACAGCTATAGTAATTCAATGAGCAACAAATGCAATCAATACAATGTATCAATAAGAAATAAATCAAAATCCTATCATTATCATTCAACAAACTTTACCTCGTATTAAAGAGCTAAGACCTAATTTATTGATGAAAATGTTATCAACATATTCGCCTCCGGTGAATAATTCTGCAACCACATATAAATTAGGTCGTATAGCTCTAGCCTTATCAATCATGTATTGCGCTACATGAAGAGGTGTACTATGACAATTATCCAATCGTACTGCGTGAAATATTTTTGCGGTTAACTCCGTATATTTAGTCATTCTATCCCAAAGATATGGGCTGTCTGCTGGTTTGTCACCATAACTGAAGTTTTTAAAAATTGGCAAAAAATAAAGATTAGGTTGCTGAGATCAAAAAACTAAACAGATAGACACAAAAATAGCTAATTAAATTCATGTTAAAGTAAGTGAAATTGTTTACAATGGGCTTTTTGTGAAATCAGTGGTCACGTCTAACATTACCTACTGCGTTAAGATAAATGAACAGGACAAACTATTGATCTTGATCGGTTAATTTCGATCAATGAAATATATCTCCATGATCTAATTATTGTACAGTAACCAGTTACTTTCATCTTTTTAATGTTTAAAGTTTTGTTGACTTGACAATTAGTATGATCATATAAGCACAACGTTGGATTTTAGATGCAAAACATTAAGATCGATTTCTGTAGCGAAAATCAGAAGCCATAACTCAGTCAGTCAGTCAGCTAAAACGTAGAACCAGGCACATATATGCATCGGTCCAAGTTGCCATACCTCATTAGCATAAGATGAACACCGAATTCATTGTAGTTAATTTAATGGCGGCAATATATAAAAGAAAGATTGTATATAAGGATATGATACACGAAGAAAGAAAGATATGAAGCAGAACCCATAACTAGAGTCTTGAAGAATCACGGAAATTGTTAAAAGTGAATAAAACTGAGTAAAATTTACAAACGACCGCCAAGATAGTACTATTTATTGCATTCATATAACAGAAATTTCCCACCTATAGTAATATATAAATATATGATAGTGAAACTCGATAACCAAGCATATCGCGTTATGTGTTTTCAGTGTTATTATTTCGTGAAGGCTGATCATAACACACCACTTCTCAGAACGGAGTTAGTCAGTCTTAATCAATATAGGGTCTGACATGAATTTTCATCGGTTCGAATCACCACACCTTATAAACATAGATAAAGGAAATCAGCAAGAATAATAGCAGGTCAGCCGAAGCAGTAAAGGTATCAATGATAGTAACAAATAAAAAACACACAGCGAATATGACTCGAAAGGAAATGAAATAAGAGAGTAAACTGCGTGAAGTAATATTTAAACCTAAGATGTGCTTAGTCCTGAACCATCCGAACTATATATATATATATATATATATATATATATATATATGCGGTTTTCATTGAATTATTGACTACAAGTGTTAACTAATACACGAATACATGGTTGTTTACACAAAACACTGAATTGGGTTGCGAATAAGTTATTATGACAAAGACTAAATAAAAACTAGTGGTTTTTGAAAACATATATGTATGCGAATTTATTCTATGAAAATTCAAATGGGACAAAAATTACCGTAGCTTTACTGAGTCCCCCCAGACTATAAGTTCACGGCGTAAGTATACAAATGAGCTAGGTTCTGCAAAGTTTTTCAAAGGATCATCATTCATCACCCATCCATTAAAGGCCATAATTTTCGCGGCATCTTTGGTTTCCAAAATTGCTTCAGCTTCTTCGATGGTTTCTACGTCAGGGACTGGATGATAAAAGTACCTATTAAGAAAGCGACAAAATTCTTATGATAACGATATATTTGAAAATTATGAATACTATCTAATCTCATTCACTGTAACAAACCAGGAATTTCGTAAACAATTCACTTTTTATTGCAGTCAGCCAGTTAAAAAACACCACTCAACAGTGAAACAGTGTAGTGTTACCACATAAATTTAACTAAAAGTCATCAACGTGCCTTTATCAGTTTCACCAACAAATACCAAACTTTGAGTTAAATAATTGGTAAACACTATATTTGTTAGAAATGTGGATCAGTCTTTTAGGAATATGACTCAGACACGCAAGTGTAGAGTATAAATTTTGTTCTTTTTATGGAAACTTTGAGATGAAAGCAATGTTATTAACATTTAGACAATATAAAAATGAAAACCTTTTACGTTAACATCGAATTGTATAACCAATCAGATGCATAGATCCCGCAGCAATATTGAAATAGCTTATCTTGACATCATGATATTGATGTTTTTACGCACAAAAACAGAAAGCTAGTTGATTATTTGATGTGTTATGACTAAAGATCCTACTCATATAGAAATGCATTGATTCTATTCTTAGTATAGCGTGCATACATGTTCACTTAATTTTCTTTTCTCGCGACCTCTTTATTGAGACAAAAATAACACATTTTCTCCAAACTTATCTCGAAAATCTGCCAATACTTTAAAATTGTTAAATACCTCAAAAACACTAACTATCCATAGATTATATAAACAGTGATTAGAACAAACATCTGAAAGTAAATGTTGATATATACTAGAATTCTTTTGAAAACATTGTATTTAAATATGTAACATATAGAAAAAGGAAAAAGGTATGCGAAGTGACGAGACAATTAACTAAAATTCCACTTATTATTTAATAGACCTTGAAATAGTCTAATGATGCTCTTTATAAAGAATTGTACTCCTGAAAACCATAGCCAGATTTCGTATAAAAACAATTATTAAACATACATGAAAAGAATTATTACAATTTACCACATATTGGGTGAATTATAAAATGAATATGTTTGAGAGGTGGACTTTTGGTGCACGCTAAATGAACAACCAAACCGAAGGCAAATTTAACGCAGGAATTTAATTAAACGCCGGATTAAAATCAAAGGTCACACATACACATCATTATACTAGTAAAGAAATCGACAGAGATAAACCACTTTTTTAACGAAACTGTACTTCAATTAACTATAAATCTGACATTTTGTCAATAGGAACAGTTAATTAATTGTTGAAGATGAATCAATTATACAGCATTATCCTTTGTCAAATAACAAATGTTTTTCCAAATAAATAACAAGGAATTGTAGATAACAAATAATGTCTTTTATCAAATCGATGTTCAAGTGAATTTTATTATGACACTTAATGTATCACTACTAAACATTTCATCTTTTCGATAAACACTGTTTGGTAAAACAAAGTGGTTTATATCAAACTTAAGGTTCGATTAGTAGAATGAACTAAGTCTTCTATCACACGAGTTAATGAAAACTTATAAATCAGAAACACTCGATAAATTTGTTTTCAAGAAGCCGAAAAATATTGATGGAATAAGAGAGACTACGACAAAATACGATGAAAATAGATAAGACACTGAATGAAATTAAGTAAATTAGCTTATGATTATATGTTTTATGAGTAATTATTTGGTAACATTGTATTATTCAAAGATAACAAGGGTGAACAATGGGATAAAATAAAGAAATTAACAAGAATACGACAAATGAAAAAACGATATCTGTTTATATTATAATATACCATTATGATATATTGAAATGCACATAATATATTTTAGTTTATACACAAATAAATGTATACAAAATTACAAAAAGATATTCAGTGTACTTACGTCCACATAATTGGTGTATCTAGCGTAACTTGCTTAAGCTTAAGTCCATGAGGATCGTAAAATCGATAGCGAGCATTTGCCAAGACATTTCCTACGGCAGCTTGCAAATGATGCTTAATTTCATTAACTTTGTCATAATTTAGAGATATTAACCTGACTCGTAACTTTTCACCAGCAGCTTCAGCCTCATTTTCAGAAAGAGGAAGTTCATTCTCATTTTTACCTACAATTTCACGACATGCTATTGAGAAATCAACAGTAGACCCGAATCGCCTTCCTTTTCTAGCCCCGTCAATTTTCAGAGATAAGTTAGTATCATTCGGTGAAATGAATGAAGGAAATGTTGCATGTTTCCCTAAAAGTTGAACAAGTAAATGAGTAACTCTAAATCAACACAATATTCGTAAATACCAGAAGATACTTGTCTGTTTCTTCATATTGACTTAAATATCCACACAAAACATCACAAAATCATTGCTGAAGGTGTTTTTAGGAGGTCAAAAAAGCTCACCATGAAAGAGGAGTAAAACTAATAAAAAAATATAAGTATCGTATATGTTGAAAAATTACCTACAACTAGCCGTTGAAAAGACTCTAAAACATAGATACCTATTTTCAAAAAAGAGACCGGGGGACTATTTATGTATTAGCAAAATACAAAGAGTTTTGAACAAACGTCAAAGGTAATTAAAAACTTTTTAAATACAGTAGTTTTCATTGAAGATACGATTTTGTTGCATGAAAAAAGTGAACTAATTGCATACATAACAGCCTGCAATATCATTTACGCTAGAAAATTCTATTGTATATTTCTGACTCATGATACTGAGCATGTAAGTTACACGAGAAACTCCCCGTCACTGTTAAAGAATCTTAACATCTGTAAATCTAATTCGCTGTAGTTATCATGCTTTCTGAAATACTTGTCATTATAATGATGGTAGGAATAACCAAGCTACTTATACTTGTCATTCCTCGACCCCATCAAATTATTTTCAACAATGACTCCGGCATTCAATATCTCACTGCAATGTATACCATTTACACTCCTTCTGCTTAGTCTATTGACTTACTTTTATTGGCCTATTGTATGACTCCATTATTATTGAATGATGACGTTAATGAACACATCCCGCTTAATCTCGTACATACTCGTAGACTTAATTTGCATCAGTGAATAATGGAATAAAGTGGGCCAAATACGAGAATGAGTTTTGGATACATATATCTCATTCATCTGTAAACGCAGACAGACAGTAAGAGAGAAACTGATCGAAGAAGGCAAACGTGGCAACTCAATTTAATGAAGCATGACTCAATATTTATCGTCAGACAGAAAAACCGACAAAACGTATTTGACGAAGAGAGTAAGTGATAAACACATACTCATTCACTTAAGCCTGTTAACCCTTGTAGAATATAGGTCCTCAGTCAGGATAGTCTAACCAACTATGTCTCACGCTCTTCTTTCCAGTTGTTTCTGGTTGCTATTCATTCCTTTGATGTCTGCCTACAATTCCCAGCGCCATCTGTGCTCTTCTTCTTTCGCCTTCAGGATTCCAAGTTAGGGATAGCTTCGTGATGTGGTCTGGTGGTTTACGCAGTGTGTGACCTACCAACCTCCAGCGTCTACTCCTAAGTTCCTCTTCAACTGGAGGCTGATTTGTTCTCTGCCATAAAAGGTTTTCGTTGATGATGTCTGGTCAATGGATCTCGAGCATCTTTAGTATAAACTGTTCATAAATACATGTACCTTCTTGATGATGTTTGTAGTAGTTCTGCAAGTTTCAGCTCTGTACAATAGAACTGTCTTGAAGTTTGTATTGAAGAATCCGACTTTGATGTCGGCTGACAGTTGTTTTGAGTTTTAGATGTTCTTCAATTGTAGCAATCCTGCCCTTGTTTCGCCAATCCATGTCTTCACATCCGCACCACACCCTCCTTGTTTATCGACGACGCTGTCCAGATACGTAAACGTTTCCATCTCTTCCAGAGCTTTTCATTCAAGCGTGATTTGGTAGATGCTCGTTGTGTTGCATTTCAGGGCATTGCTTTCTCCTAGCGTACATTGAAGCCTACTGTTGCAGAGGCTGTTCCTACTCTGACTGACTTCACTAGGATTTGTTGCTGTGTACAGGATAGAAGGGATAGGGTCATCCGCGAAGTTCAGATTTTTTAGCTGCATCCATGGTATACACTGCATTTCGTGCTTCCCCTGAGATATGCAGGTCTTTATAATCCAGTCAGCTACTAAAAGAAAGTACGGGAGTAAACAGACTTGTCTGACACAAGTGTTCGCCTGGAAGACCTTTGTGAGTTGGCCTACATGCACGACTTTACAGTTTAGTCTGGCATAAGAATTCCGTTTGGTGATGATGACATTCTTCCTAGGTACTCCACAGTATCGGAAACAGTTCTATAGGGTCTTCATATGCATGCTGTCAAATGCTTCCTCGTGGTCAGGGAAGTGGTTGTATAGTGATCAGTTTCATTCAACTGACTACTCAACACCGATGCGTAGTGCCACGGTTTGGTTTGTACACAACCGATCCTTACAGAATTCAGCCTGTTCATTTCGAAGATGGGTGTCTCAATGTGTATTGCTTCAATGTTGCATGGGTTCAGTGGGGCTTTTGTACTCAAGGGCTTTCCAAAGTGTTCTACACACGTGTGTCAGCCGATCTTGAATATCAGTGACTGGTATGCCACCTTGCTTTTTGACTGGTAGCTCTAGGTTACTATATTTCCTTGAAACTTTCTTCGTCGTACCATATAATCGTATGATTTTCTCTTTGCTTGCAGCCTTTCCAACCGTCGTTGCTAGTTCTTTCACGTATTTCCATTTGCCGGCTCTAATACGTCTTTTTACGCGTTTGCTTTCTGTGTATTTGGCCTGTATATTGGCTTCATCTGCTCGGCTGTTGTTAATAACTGTCTTCTTGTTTTTTCTTCCTTAGGTCATTTCCAGGATATCGATAGAGCTCCACTCTTTGTATTGGAGCTTCTTTCGGCTTAGCACTTCGTGTTACGTTGTAGGGCTTCCTTGATCCCTTCCTAGTTGTTTTCGACACACGCATTCGCTCATATAATAATAATCAAGGTTATAAGCAAATATTGAACAAAGGAAAATGTATGTGTGAATAATGACACAAGGAGAATAAATTAACTGGTCTATCCAATACTAGGAATAATTAAAGTAGTCGTGAAATGGTACTAAACGTGATATACTCCCTCTTTTAATGTACAATATGGTAGCTTGTATCAATATGTATTTCTTTGAGGTCCTTGTTTGTTTATCTATATGACCAAAAAAGGTAAGGTAACATTAAACTCTGCTGCACTTGACGAAAAATGGTTATGCTATCTCAACAATGTGGACCGTAGACTCAGATGATCATAAAATACAATATAAATTAATCTGTGCTGCACGTAAAGACACAAATTGAGTCATTATCTAAAACTTTATTGCTCACATTCACTTACATTCCCTGAATCGATTGACAAGGTCATGAGTATTCATTGATTGAGGTGGGTAGTTTTTCATTTTATCATTACTGGTACATTAGCTTGTCTCCTAAGCTATTCACCGCGTGTCAACGTGGCATGACAACGTGGATCGACATACATAAGTCCCAGGCTCGACCTTGACAATGACATGGCTGACTGACATTCACAGTATAATTACATTATCGTTTTTGATGTAAATAATATAGGAACACATTTTCGCCTTATTCGCAAGAACTTACTGAAAATGTAATTCAATAAATTACTTATAATGCCAGAATGTCGGTATTTAAAAGTTATTTATGCTTTAAAGAAGCGGTGTATATGGTACTGTCAAAATTCATCTATTTTTGTTTTTCATTAAGATCTTCATCTAAAACCATTGGTTATAAATATTGACAGACGGAAACAAAGCGGGTAGGATACTTTAAAAACTTACTCAACCAAGAAGTGAATTCTTTTGATACTATACCAACATCTGCTATGAAAAACTCAAATAACCTAGCTGCTTCTATCTTCTGGGTCAGCCACGCTTCTATAGCTGGAAGCTCACTATCTGGATTGTTTAAGATTGCTGGGATACCATGACCTGCAAGTGATCCAGTACTGGCTTCTATTGTTAAACGCCAGACAATATGATCCAGGATATACGCTGGAGCCAGATGAGGAGAATTAACAACGTTGTAAGCACATTCAGGATGTTCGTGAACCCAGGGGCTATCATTTGATGTATGATTGAAAACTAAGTCCGTCATACTAAGTACTGCCCAATTATTTTCCAAATGTTTGACAAAGCCTTCAATATCCGTCCAGTCTACCTTCTTCGTTGCTCCAGGTGGAGTAAAGCTAGGATTGACCGTGAGTTGATCTTTGAGAGAATAAGCAGAACGAGAATACCCAAGTTCCTGTAACATAAAGAGGAATTCAGGACATTCACATACACTAAGTTAATAATCAAAAGGTCTTGTCTCATGTATTACCAATATATCAATGCTAAAGTCTAGACTTTCTGCTTTGATTTAAAAGATTCGATTAACCCCAACTTAATTAAACATGTTTTATTTACCAATATTTTTAGGCATTGTAACGAATACTTTCTTTCTGAAATTGACAGTTTACAAGCAAAATGGCTCTCTTTCCTGCCGAAGAAACAATCTCCCTAACCCACTGCATTGGTACTTGTCATTTACATACTAGTGGCTAGCTTGGGGAGTAAATTTATGGAGCTCTAGTGGGAAGCCGTGACTAGCGCGTTTTAACTGTCTTGAACGTGAGGAAGGTATCCACCAAAGACGATGGAAGATGGTCGTGCGATATTGCAGATTGATCGAAGCTACATTCGTACACCATTGGATATCGGTCCAGTAATCCAGAGGTTAAGTACCAGACGGAAGATCTCGAGTTTGATTTCCAATTACAAAAGTTGTGACTCTGCATTGCTGAGGAGTCCAATGCCAAGAGATAACAGCCTTTTAATCATTCCATTGTTTTTATGATTGCTTAACTTATATTAGTTTGTGCTCTCAATAAAATGCAGTTAAAACAAGACGTCTCATTAGCACATTTATTAAAAAGTCTGTGTAATACATTCTTCATACAAAATATATGATGACAATATTTTGTCCTTAATTCATGACCATAAAACGCTTTATTTATCTCGGCTGATTTCAAAACCCATGTTTAGTTTGCTCTCTTAGAAATATACCGCTCGGCTTACCTTACACGACAGTATACAACTGGGGACAACAAAACGTAAACATTAAAACTCGACATTACAATTAGAAGTAAACCAAACAATCAAATGGAAAGCTACTAACTTGAAGAGGAGTAAAGTGAATCATATTATAACTACCATTCTTGACTGTATGAAGTCTTGACTCCCATTCAGGGAATATTCCAAGATTTTTAGACAAATAAGACTGAAGAACCACGCCACTTAAATCCCAATTTTTTCCACGGATATTTCCTGAGGACTCTGTGACAACTTGTTTACCAGTGAAATCTGGATCAACGATAATATATCCCGAACCAGCTATATTTTCTTTCATACATGTTGCGGTTGATGGAGGGCTAGGAGAAGATCCATCTTTTGAAAAATAAAAGTGAAAAGATCCGCAGACACTTATTTTTTTTAACTCGAAAAAACTATCAAAACAATCCGATTGTTTGCCAGTAAGAGTTGGGTTATTCAAAGGTAGCTCCCGATATTGCAACCTCTGAAATGGAACGCCGGAATCGGGATAATTAATAAAAAACCGGATATTGCAACCAATCAGAGATACATCCAAAACGAAATGAACCACATCATCTATCCAGAATAAAAATTGTATGAATATTGGAATCACTTTTTTTAATCCTGAATAACTGGCCTTCCGTATTCATTCCATCATACAGCAAATATTGAAATACTTCTTGTTTCATGCTTTGATAGCAAGAATATTGGGCGGCACTACAGATTCTGCCCCCGAAGTTTGATAATACTGACCGACGATCAAGGGTTTGCTTTTTGCAACCTTGAGAGTTTGGAATTAACAGATCCAATAAAACAATCTAGTATGTTTATGTCGAGCTCGTATAAATCGATTGAATTTTTTATCTTACGGTCCTTCTGTTCCGGTAAGTCCTCAGGTCTGTGATAATCTCCAGTGGACGGCAGTCTATCCTCTACAGTGCACAAATTCTAGTCAGTTTTAGTTATTTGTGTTCAAATGGTTCAAATGGTTGAGGACGGAATAGAAGAAGCTTTCGCTTAACGGGCTTCCGTGTCTGGTAGCAGTGGATCACCAATACCTCCAGGCAGGGACCTAGGTATATGAACGATAATAGAGGGAAAAAAAGAATTTGGTAAATCATAATAATATGTTATCCTTAGTCCTTAAGAATAAGTCAAGTTTTCTCTTAAAGGACTCCTGGGAGGTCGCTTGGACTAGCTCAGTCGGCAGCGAATTCCAGCACTTGACAACTCTAACGGAGTAGAAGTTGTGTCTGCAGTCTGTTCTGCTATGTAGGGTCTCCAATTTCTGGGTGTTACCTCTGAGGTTAGTGTTATGACTAAGCTTAAGAAGTTGTTTAAGGGGATGACCAGAAGTATTAAGGATACTATAAGTCATAAGAAGATCACCTCTAAGACGCCTATACTCTAACGGGTAAAGGTTAAGTGATTTGAGGCGCTCTTCATAAGGTTTGAATTTGAGACCCCGAACTGATTTCGTGGCTCGACGTTGTATACGTTCCAGAGTGACCTTATCCTTTTGGAGGGAGGGAGGAAATACTATGTTTCCGTACTCTAAGTGGGGACGAATAAAACTGTTGAAGATTATGTGGAAGGTTCTACCGTCAAACTGGCCAAAAATGCGCTTCAATGTTACCAGTGCAAGGTTTGCTTGAGAGGCGTTTTTGTCACAGTTCGCATACGATTTCAGGTCGTAGGGTACCAACACTCCTAAATCTTTTTCAACTTGGGAAACTTCTAGAGGTGAGTTACCTAAGTTATAACTATAGTCTGCAACATGTCTCAGATGGACTGCCTTGCACTTTGAAGTGTTGAAGGTAAGTCCGTTGTCGTCTGCCCAACTTTGAAGTCGAGTCAGATCCTCCTGCAGAACTAGTATATCATTGTGAGTACGTATCTCTCTCCAAAGTTTCACATCATCAGCAAAAAGCAATAAATCAGATGAAACTTGTTGAGGAAGATCGTTAATATAAATCAAGAAGAGAAGAGGTCCTAGTATTGAACCCTGGGGGACCCCACTAGGATATTCCATAGCCTGAGAGAGAGTGAAGTTAACCCTGACCTTAAAATGTCGGTTTTCTAGGTATGAAGTGATCCAGTCAATTAAAGGGGGTTTGATACCCAATCGTCCAAGCTTCTTGATAAGACATGCATGGTTGACCCTATCAAAAGCTTTTGAGAAGTCCAGGTAAATGACGTCAACCTTACCCTTGCGATCAAGGATGGTTGTCCATCTATCCACCGCAGTCAGCAGGTTGGTCGTACAAGAATGACCTTTTCTGAAACCATGCTGTTGAGGCGAGAAGAACTTTGAGGATGATAAGTGTTCTAGTATGCCGTCGAATACTAGGGATTCCATAATTTTTGAAGGTATGGAGAGAAGGGCCACTGGTCGGTAGCTTGAGGGTTCACTGCGTCGACCTCCTTTGAAAATTGGTGTGATGTGGGCCAGCTTCCATATTTCCGGTAGTTTGCCTCTGCTTAGCGAGTGTTCAAACATCACGCTAAGTGGTGTCGCCAGGATTGAAGCTGCTTCCCTCAATACGGCGGAATGAACCATGTCCGGACCAGGAGAAGTGTCTTTTTTTAGGTTCTGCAGTTTACGGAGCACCAAGTCAGCACTCAGGTCCACTTCGGAAAGTCCTGTACAGGTGCAGGTGAAGCTTTCGTCAGTATGGTTGATGTGGGTCAGTTGGAATGTCCGGGAGTATTGTTCAGCCAAAATGTTGGCGGCATCACTGTCGTTGTTGGTCGGGCCATTAGGACCAAGCAGTTGGGAAACTCCAGTTTTGCCTTGTCGAAGAGAAGCTGCATAACTGAACAAGCTTTTCGGATTGGAGACGAATCTATCGATAAGCTTGGTCTGGAACTGAAGCCTGTCTTCTCTTATTGCCTTTGTGCATGTGTTCCTTATATGTTTGTATTGCCTGTACGCGCCGTTGTTATCCGTTCGTTTATATTCAGCCCAACAGTGCCTTTTGCGGCTTAGCAAACGACGAGTGCGGTTCTTGATGATTGCAGGTTGCTTGTAGCTTTTTGGGACCATTTTAGGAACTGAATGCTCAGTAGCACATAAGATCGTGTGCAGTAAAAAATCCCAATGAGCATTCACTTCAATTTCAGGGCGAACATTCCAATCCACCTGTTGAAGATAGTTCTGTAAAGCTAACACATTCAACCGTTTGAAGTTCCAGTGCTTGTTGCTAGTAGGATATCGTAGCTCCGTCTTGCTGACAAAGCTGAATGATAAGACGGCGTGATCACTTTTGCCCAGGGGAGCCAGGACTGAGAGGTCGTCAACTAGGAATTCTTCGTTTGTGAATACCCAGTCTAAGCGTGACGGCGTCTGACTGTTTCTCCAACGGGTTGCCGACTTCACATTTTCGAATAATCCCAGGTCGCCGATAAGGTTGAAGAACAGAGCTTCAGTAGAGTTGGCACCACCAATGTATGTATGTTCCACGAAGTTGATTCTAGGGAGATTGAAATCCCCTAGAATCAGGATATGAGAGAATCCAAGACGCGTAGAGCGAGTTAATCCTTCCAGCAGACGTTTGTCATATTCGATGTCGGCAGTGGGCTTCCTGTAAACGACCCCAACTAGGCACCTCGAGGTGGTAGATAATCTTACTGAGCACCATACTGACTCGTCAAGATTGTGAAACTCTTGATTGTGAAGTTGGTGCGCATCCAGGCATGACCGTACGTATAGTGCTACCCCACACCCCATTCCTGTTTTCCTGTCGTTGCGAAATAAAGACATCCCAGTTATTGCTAACTCTTGGTCCGTAAACTGAGACGTTATCCAAGTTTCGGATATTCCTATCAGATGGGCATCATTAGCGTTGCTAAGTTCACGTAGCTCATCCATTTTGTTTGGCAAGCTCGCGGCGTTCGTGTATAGGCAGTTTATGCTTTCAATTTGGAACGCGTGAGCCTCTTCTTGTTTGTCTATATGAGCCGTGTGTGAGTGCACAGGTAGCCTACCTATACGATGTTTACCGAGTTGGTAGTCCCTGTCCTTTACACGTTTTTTTTATGATCAAGACAGTCCACGAGTGGAATTGTCAGCTCCAGCTTTCGTTTGTGCTTGATCCTGCTGTCGTGGGGCCTATCCGGATGCATATGGATGCCAGTTGGCAACCGACGTCTATTGGCACGAAATGCTTACAGAGTTGCAGCCGCCATGTGGGAGGAGGGGAAGGTTATCTTCAGCAGCCGGGGCCTAGAGTCTCCGTCTCTCTTGGCCAGTCTCATTACCTGTTGGGTCAATATGTTCTTGAGTTTTAAGGAATGCTTGATGAATTTCCATTCCCGAATATCAGAGTTTGCTTGAGCTGGGTCCATATTTTCCGGCACACCTTGCACAATGATATTTCGTCCACGGAAGAACGCCTCGCGAGATTCCTTAGGGATGTTCCGGATGAGATTTCGTTCAGAATACGGTATGTCGGGCAGTATTCTTACGTTCCCATCGGACCTCAGTAAGTGACTGGCTAGCAGGACGTCCTCTACGTCGGAGGCATTCTTAAGTGTAACACGAAGCAGCCTCGGGTGGTTTAGGTGGTTAGAGTCCTTCCCCCGAGTGAGCCGTGTGACGGTCAAAGGCTCTATTCTAGGGAGTTCAAGCCCCTTGATTAATTCTCCCCAGAGCATCCTGTCGTTTTTGTCCTGCAAACTGAGAGGAAGATCGGGGTTGTCAATAAGGTTCATGATTATGACAGAGTCGTCACGAACCGCAATTGATTTCCCAGGTTTTCCAGGGCGTCTAGGTTTGGTGTCTTGTTGTTTGGATGTCGAGGCGCGTTTTCGATTCCTGGGCTCAGTGATGACCGGGCGGACAGTCTTGGGTGTAGACTGTGCGGCCAAAGCATCAATTGATTTACGCACGATACTTGGGACGTTCAGTTTCGGAGGGGACGCTTGGGCTTTATTACTCCTGTTAACGTGAGTCCATCCACCTACAGGATTTTTAGGAACCACTGTCTCATTCAAGGACCGTTCCCCGGGGGACCTAAGTTTACTGAGGAAGTCGATGACAGTCGATGTTAGGATGGTGCTGAGTTTCAACACATCATCACTCGTGCTGTTAACAGCACCGTCGATAACCGACCTGTCAGTATCCTTTTTCTTATTTGCCCTATGCGTTCCAGCTTTGTTACCCGTCATGATGATATCATTTACCGAATTCTTAGACAACTTATCTCTCAGACCTGTCAGTAAAGTAATGATAGTACCCAACATAACTACCGTATCTGTGTTGCAGGTAACACATACCCACCTACGATCAGACTTGCTGAGTCTGCTATAGGCTGCTGCTGTTAGATCTGTACATTCTTCATGGAACCAACCTTTACAGTTGTCACATTGCATGCCAGATGTAACGGCAAAACGGCAACCAGGTCTCTTGCATGAATTTTTCATGGCTAGTGATTTAGACTGTCTTAAAAATATAAGCAGTAAATTTAGGACCGATAAAAAAAACACACAGTAAACAAAAACTATCAAAAATGTATAAAAACAGTTAACGATAAGCTTGTGTTTATATATATTGTAATTTGAGCGAGCGTGTTTGTCTCGAGGCAAAAGAATTTGTGGAACCAGCATCCATCATATTAACAAGCAAGAGTTTGATTAGTTTTAATGTGAAGAACAATAAAAGCAAACTTGGAGTACAAGGGAAAACGATTATTTTAAGATGTAGATAAAAGAAATTGGTCGATTAACAAGTAATACAGACAGTGTAAACAGATCGAAGTGTAAAAGATAAAGGTGACTATAACGGGAATAATAAGCAATTTAGGGGTAAGCTAATGATATGGGATACTGATAAGAGCAGATAACGAACAAGACGTGCATTTTGCGCAACTAGTCCAAGAAAGAAATGGTAATTCATGAGCACGCGTTTGTAAAGTCTCTTCCTTAAGCAAGCTGTCCACTAAGGTACCACGATCACTTAGACTGGGAGGATA